TTGGAAAATGGGATTTTTTTTTGAGTTTTGCTTGGGGTACATAGGAGATAACATAGGGGTTGACATAATACTCACATGGGGTGGGACCCGCTTTTAAAATGGGTCCAACCCCATGTGAGTATTATGTGTACCATTATGTAGAAAAATTATGTACAAGTAGCATTTTTGCAAAAAAAAATCTTCAAAATCTGGGGTGGGGGCACTTGCCCACCCAGGTCACCCCCAGGTCCGCCCCTACTTTAAAGGTGCTGATTCACGGCTCTCAGCAGCAGAAACGAGCAACTAGCGAAATCTTATATAGTGCTCAAGAAGTTTTTGTGTAGGCGACATGCATCCCTTAAGAAGAGGAACTTCAACTACATTGTTAAACCATGCAACGAGACGGGGCATTTTCTCTTCATCAATAAGCTTTACATTTAATATTTCCTCTACAATTCTAGCCCAGCATCCCATCCACCCGCAGCAATGTCTACAAATCCAATTGTTTCGCCACCAAAGAAGCGTTTCCCCTCCTCAAGTGCACTTTCTAAGGTCTTCAAATGCTCACAAGCCTCTTTTACGCATTTTTCCTGCTCCTCACCAACCTTGGAGAATGCGTTTGTCATTGATGCCATGCACTGGACAAATCAAAAATTAACAAAGAAAGTAATCAGCTGTCGATAATGCCAATTAGTATCTTAATCATCTTAATACCTTTTCGTGGGCAAATTTACCCCAGAAGCGTAACTTTGCTCTTTCAAAAGGATCTTGAGGGAGTAATGGGTTCTGCTTCCAGGTTTCATCAATGTACTCAATTATAGCGACTCTTCCCACTATGCAACAGCACCGGGACCTTATAAATCGGGTTGCACTTAAACAACAGGGGCTCTTCTTGAGAAGATTTTCTTCCTGGTATTCGTATTCAACTCCCTTTAGTTTTAGCGCCCAACGAGCGCTAAGGACAAAAGGACTCGCCCAGAAACTAATCAACTAGACTAATTCTTTCTCTGGTGCCATTTCTACTCCGAGGAATTTCATTTGTTGTTTTCTACTTCGAGGAATTTCATTTCAACTGGACTAATTCTTTCTCTGCTCACAGCCATCACACAAAGGGGGTGACTCGCGCAATTTTAAAAATTGAGGGCTCCACCCCCCTTGTGAGAGGGTTGTCACCCATGATGCACACCCTAGCATTTCTCTTATTTTATTGGAATGATCTAATTATATCACAATATAGTTGTATTCCAGATCTCTTGTTCAAGGCATACTTTGTGAATTTATAATAATTGGATACCCTCTTAAGTCGGTTCTAAGGGTGAGTTCTAGCCCTTATTTGGCCCTCTTTATCTCTCTTTAATTTAATTTTTAATTAGTTTTCAACCTAATCTTTTTGACAATAGTGGAACCCATGTTTGCACCCTATCTAATCACTTGACAGAGAATATCAATATGCAAGGGACCGTTGGACATTGTAAGGACGTTACCACCCTCCACTTTCCCTGACAAATTTCAAAATTACTCCCCAATGCATGGCTCTCGTTTTGGCACCTAATGTTTGTAGTGGTATTGTGATTTTTTAGTCCTCTAGTGTAAAAAATTTCATTTTTTTTACCAGCACTTTCACATGAATGGACACATGGGGCCCACAAGTGATTGAAAATTTTGGCAAATAATGGAATTTAAAGGGAGCCAAACGGGGGGTATGTAGCATGTTTGGCCCCCATTAAAATTATAATTCATTTTTTTCTATATCTTCTTATCAACTACACATTCTCCAATAAAATAATATTACACGTAATTCAAAAACTTCTTTTTTTATATCACATTTTAAAAAAAAAAATTATTTCAACCATTAAAATTTCAAATAATGGGAGCCGAACAAGGGTGCAAAATCATAGTGGGAAAAAGGTTTTCGTGTTTAGTTTCTCAAGATAAACATGAGTTCCATAATGATTTAACTTATTTAGCTGCTGGAGGCTGTGCTAACTGCTGCAACTGGTGGACAACATGTGACATTCTAGGACGCATAGACGGGACATGCTGCGTACAAGAGTACACGAGGTCCACCGCTTTCTGGACTGTTCCAACTTCATGGATTTGAGAAGAATTCAAGTAAAAGCACCCTAAAGCTTATACATTACTCTTTGTTGTAAGCTCGTTTCTATAAACAAACTCTGGAGCAAGATATCCATGGGTGCCACCGGCCATGATCCTCCTCTCATGCATCACTTCCCATGGTACAAACTTTGATAGGCCAACTCCAATTAGGTGGGTGATAAGTGTGTTTTTACACATTTATTAGTCACTTTTCGGAGTTAATTATAATTGAAATTGAGTAGATTTCTATGCATAATTGTGTAATTTTCACTTTTTAGGCCAAAACCCCGACAAGAAGGAGAACGAGGCGAAAATGAAGAAAAAAGGACTTAAAGCATATAAAATTGTGAAGTTTGGGACCAAGTTGCACAAGCGCTGAAAGTTTAAAGACCTTGGATACAATTTATTAAGGGTGTGATCGATATGAAAGTCATAATTTGAGGACTAAACTGTACAAGGTCAAAGCTTAGGGACCAGGCGTGCAATATCTCGAAACTTTGGCTACAAAATAAAAGAACTGTGACTTTAAAAGGATTGTGTGCCCTTTTAATTCTTTTCAAAGACTTCAGGGACTTTGGCTGCAATTTTCCTAGGTTTTAAATTAAAATCAGCAATAGGCATTAGGCTGCCCCTTTTTTTGTTTTTGAATTCTGCTTCGCCCGTTTCTGCAGCTTCTTCTTTCATTTTTTGTTTCTTTTGCTTTCTTTCTCTTTTCTTTTTCTTTCCTTTTTCCTTTGATTTACTCGGTGATTTTGGAGGATCAATCATAGAGCATAAGGAGATA